TATATGATTAGAGGCATTTACATAATACCAAATCCCTATGTTTTTGCAAAAGCAACTATTTTATTTATTACATTTATACCACCAAAATCATTCATATCATAGCCAAATACACTATGTTAACTTCTACAAGTAAACATTTTTTATACACAAAAGATATAGTGTGTGCATATAGCATTAAAAATTCCAAAAGGGGTATTCGAATGCAACAAGAAAGAGATGACTAAACTTGCAATCTAGCATATCTATCTATAGGGCTCATATCTCGAGCAAAGTCTGACTCCATTCGGTCTTCTTGGGTGATGGCAAATGTCGAAGAATGCACGAAGAGCGAAGCCTCCTATAATTTCACATCTCGACTGATACTCGAAAAATTATTACATATGTTCATCATACACAGAAATACGTGCGGTGAACCAATCAAAACACTCCACCTACCGAAAGTGTATGTCAGTGGACCCCAATTTAATTTTTTTTATAAAAAAAAAATCTGATTGGACACTAGACAATTTGCATCCAATGTCCGCACAGAATAAGCGATTCTGATACTCAGGGTCATCTTCCTTATACTTGATGATCGGGATAACATGACCGGTTTCAGATTCAGTAAACGCAAATATTGTAGCAGCCAGGGCAAAATTATCAGTAATTACTAGTTGGAAGGAAACACATAAAATCGAAATGATTTTCGTCAATCTTCACTTTATATAACTACCATGGACTTCCCAGCTTAGAGGCGGTTGTCAACAGATTTTACGGGTATTCCAAGCGATTTGGGAATGGGAAAATAAGCTTCATACTTGAAAGCATTCCATCCTTGAGTCAATCTTCCTTAATTTTGGACTCCTTCTGGATAGACAGGAATGTAGATGCAATTCGTCAAAATGTTTTGAGTTTCAAAGTCTCCAAAGGATTGAATTGAATCAGCGAAGGAAGAGGCAGATCAATGTGGCAGGCACAAGTTGGCGGACTTGAGAATAGTTGCATATATCGGCCATTATGTCGGTGAATCATGTTTAATTTTGCATAAAGACCAGTAGCTGATATGTAGATAAGTTAGCTAGTATTTCTTGATGTTTCTACACATTTTTATGGATAAAATTATACTTTAGGAAAGATATTTTTGTGTTTATATTGCAGATACAACAAGAATATGAAGTGGTGAAATCAGGAGGAGACATGAAGCTTAAAGGTGTAAAGTGAAACTGGCGCCTAGACGCCGGACCCATGGGCTCCTAAGTGCCACTCCCGGCTTTACCAACCCGAGAGGTTAGCGGGTGCCTAGGCACTGGACAGCTTGAGCGCTTAGGTGCCCGTCCACTCTTCAACAGACAGAGATCCTGGCACCAGCCCATGGGCGTCTAAGCACCAGAAACTGCCGGTTGCAGTTGCTGTAGTTCAGGACTTCAAGCGTGTGGATCGTGTGGGGGATGATGCAGGGCTACATAGGAGTCGTGGAAGCCAAGTTAAAGAGCCTATAAATAGCATTACATTACAGGCTTATGGGAGATTGATGCCAGTTGGTTACTTAGTGGGATTTGTTTGTTGTGGAGACCCCTTCGTTTTCTTCCAATGCAGAGGATAGAATGGTTCTACAAGAGCAACAGCCTAGAAATTTAGGAAGAGTGTTGATTAATTCATCTTCTTATCTTTGTAAAGGAGAGAAAACTAAGTCTTTTTGTGTACTTTCTCTTGTCTTTCACTTGTAGCAATTGGATAGTGAATTTCTCTTTTGTTTCCATGAGAATCTATTTGGTGTTTTTCATATGCTTCTCGAGTGGACTTTTTACTCTTCTTTCTGATAATTAAGTGGGATGGATGGAATGAGGTTTCCATAGCATACTAATTACTTTATATGGAGATGATAAACCTTTAGGGCTTAATTTACTTTTCATTCTGGCCAAGTAAATTATTAAAATATTTTGTGAACCATAAGTCTTGATAATTGCGATAATTTAGGATTACTATTGTAGGACATAAACTTTTCATTTTCTTCTGATACTTTAGGATTACTTTGTAGGACTCTAACAAAACCCCAAATTTCAAGTTAACACTAGAATCAGTATGCTAGATTTTTTCCTGACAAGGATTACCTCGTTCCCTGTAGGTACAACATTACAGACACTCTAAAATTTGATATTACTAATACAACATGTGCACTTGCGTGAGTCTTCTATGTGTTTCAGCACCTGAAAATAGTATCAAATTTTTTGCACCGTTGCCGGAGAAAGACGGTGATTTGACTCACAAAAATTTTAATTAAATATATAGATCTTAGATTTGAAAATTTGTTGTGTTAACTATTTTAGTTTAATTGTTTTAACTTTTAATTTGAAAAAACAAGAAAAACCAAAAGCATTTTTTGTTTAATTGTGTTTGACTTAATTATTTTGGTTTGAATTTTTAAGATTAAGGGTCGTTAGTTTGTATATGCATAGTTCAGGACCTACGGAACTTGAAACTTATGATTCTGAGCTAGAAAGAACTATTAAGAAAATTAGGAAACAAAAGAGACTTCAAGAACCTATAGGAGAGATGGCGAACAATCCACAAAATAACCTGGAGATTCATGAACCAACTCATGAACATCCAAATGCACATAGAACTTTAAGAGACTATGCTAAACCTACAGCAGAAGAAATTTATTTGAGTATGAAAACCCCTGTCGTTGAAGCTAACACATTCGAACTGAAGCCAGCTATCATTCAAAAGATGTAGAACAGCTAATTGGAGAGAACCCGTCTGAAGATCCAAACCTTCACTTAGAGAGTTTTTTAGAACTTTGAGCTACATTTTGCTCCAATGGAGTTTTTAACAATGCTTTTAGGCTAAAGCTTTTCTCTTTCTCCTTGAGAGACGGCAAAAATGTGGTTGAACTCATTAACACCCAGATCAGTTAGGACGTGGAGTGAATTGGCCAAGAAATTCCAATCAAAATATTTTCAACCTTCAAAAACAGCTAAACTTAGAAATGATATCACTTCATTTTGTCAGCATGAAGGTGAGTTTACTTGTAAAGCTTGGAACGATTTAAGAAACTTAGGAAGTGCCCCCTCATGCACAGCCCGATTGGTTGTAATTCAAACTTTTTACAATTGATTAGTAGGATCTCTTAGGCCTATCATTGATGCTGCCGCAGGTGGATCACCTATGTCAAAATCATTCGATAAGACATATTATCTGATTGAAGAGATGACCATCAACAATTTTCAATGGTCTTCTGATAGAATAAACCCTAGAAAAGCAGCAAGTGTACATGACAGACGTGCTTTCAATTCTAACTTCTCAAATAGCGGCTATATCAAGGAAGCTAGCCAGCTAAATATGAACCAGCCTCAAGGACCCCAAGTCATTGAGGAAAATTCATTCACACAACTAATCAATGCTAATGCTTCGCCATTTAAGACCCTAAATGCAATCAATAACTGAACTAAGAACCTTTATTCCAATTTTTATAATCATAGTTGGAAGAATCATCCAAATTTTAATTTGAATAACAATCAAGGGGTGGGAATTCAATAATGGACGAATAATAAAGCAAATCATCTTAAGATTTGAAATATCCAGGGTAGCACTAACCTGAGACATTCTTATCCTTCTGGTTTTAACTCGCACCAACAATTTAAGAAAAATAAGTTGTCTTGGGAGGAAATTATATTGCAGATGGGAACCCGTTACAAAGTCAAGGTACAACTATTAGGAATATAGAGAACCAATTGAGGTAGATTGTGATCTCACTTTGCAACCGACCCCAAGGAACACTTAGTAACACTGTGATCAACCCCAAGGAAAAGAGACCGTCAAGTTGAGGAGTGGAAGAGAGTTGGAGGAAGTGGTCCGGAAAGATTTTGAGGTAGAGAAAGATAACTTGGAACTTGAAAGTTATATGGAAAACCTTTCTAAAGATTCAGGAAAATCAGTATCACTCACTGAGAATAACTTAGAAAGACCACTACCACCATTTCTTCAGAGACTACAAAAGCAAAAACTAGAACAATAATTTTCTCGGTTATTGGAAGTATTAAAAAAGCTGACAATCAGCATTCATTTTGCTAAAGTTTTAGAGCACATGCCCAGCTATGTAAAGTTCATGAAGGATATTCTCAATAAAAAGAGAAAGTTTGGAGATTATGGGACTGTAGCAATTAGTGAGAACCGCAGTGCTATTATTCAGAAGATGCTTCCTCCTAAGCTTAAGGATCCTGTGAGCTTTATTATTCCATGTGCTATTGAAGAGAAGTTTTATGGGAAGACTATATCATTTAGGTGTCAGCATTAACCTCAAACCTATGTCTATTTTCAAGAGATTAGGACTAGGAGAGGTGACTCCAACCACTGTAGCCCTTCAACTTGTTGATCGATTGATTACTTATCTGAGGGGGGTTATGAAGGATGTTATATTGAATGTGGATAAATTTATCTTTCATGTTGATTTTATCATAATAGACATAGTGGAAGATTAAGAGATGTCCATCATACTAGGTAGACATTTCCTAGTCATGGGCAGAGCGATGATTGATGTACAAAAAGGAGAGCTGACAATGATAGTGAACGATTGGAGGTGACTTTTAATGTGTTAAAATCTATAAAATTTCATTCTTATTGTAATGAGAACGCATGTTATAGGATGGATCTCATAGATCAACTATTGAGCCGTCAATTTCTGCAGAGCTGTGAAGTTAAATCAGTGCAGCAAGATTTGAGTGAGGATGATTCTACAGACTTTATTGATGAATCAGCTCTATTGGCAGAAGATAACTCAAGAATTATTAATAAGAGGTTTGAGATACTTGATACTGCTGAAAATTATAAACCTCTTGTTCCTTCTATTGAGGAACCCCCTGA